TGTTCCCAAATTTTATAAAGTTCCATTGATACACCTTGTAAAATATTTTTAACCGGTTCTAAGATAGCGCTGTATTTTGTGATTATTTTCATACTAATTACAAATGAAAAATTTGAGGTTGAAGAGTATAGAAATAGTGCACGTTGTCTTGTATTCGAATTTATAAGACCATTAATAGACAGATTGAAGGCTTTGAATTATAGCAATAAAATTTTCAGAAAATAGCCTAATAATCTTATACTTTGAAAAAAAGTTTCGCAAAAAAGTGGTATATTAGGTATAAGATTTCTTCGAAGAGTACTTTCGCGATAAAATTTTATAATTTCTTTTATTGTGCCAATAGTATTACGAATAACCATAATTTTCTTTAGATCGTTTATTACTAAATTTAATCGATGACTAGCACAATGGAAATATAAAGCTTTATTATATCGGTCACGAATTAATTTAGCAACACCGCCTACTTTTCCAGCCATTGTAGCACAGCCGTCATAACCTTGTCCAAAAAATTTACTTAAATTAAGGCCACTATCTTCCATAAATTATAAAATTTTAGTAGCAACTGATTCTGCGTCTAATTTATCTAATGGTAAAAAGCCAAGGAATTTTTCTCGAATCTTTGACTGTTTGTCTAAAAATTTAATTACAATTGTTAGCTGCTCAACACCAGAAATATCTGCTGATTCGTCAGCAATAATGGAAAACGCATTCGCGGCATTAGCTTCACATACTATTTCTTCTTTTAATATTTTTCCATACAATGTAATTAATTCATTTTGAGTTCTATGGGATGAATAGCATTTCCCACATTAGTTAAAAAATGATCTTTTAATATCTCATCGCCAAATTCAATACGAAAATTCAAAAGATCATGAAAAACACCAGAATCTGATTTTTTCCCTCGTAAGGAAAGGTCGTGAGTTCCGCAAAACAAAATAGTTGATATAATAGGTTTTAATTTTAGCCTATTAGTTTCTATTTCTTCATGCAATCCAGAATTTACTTGTTCAATAACACTAATTTTTTTACAATTCATAATATCCATAAAATCTTTTACTCTTGACATTGATTCAGTGTGCCAATTTGAAGACAAATGTATTTTAGAAGATGCATGAAAATCCTTATATTTAGTAAAATGTTTTATTATAAATCCACCTTGTACATCTCTATGAATTGATGGCTTGAACAACACACATATTCTACAAAAAGCTCCTTTCACACCCTCAAGAGCTGAATATGTCAACCATGAACCGTTTTCGTGCGACCATTGATGACTAAATGCTCGAGTTCTTCCTGATTTCAAATCACTTTTAAAAATCATAAGTAGTATTCGGTACCCAAGGATTACGTAAAAGTTCATGTCTTAAACAATCGTCAATATTTTCGACGTTCAAATAGTTTCCAATATCTTTTTCATAGGTTAAGATTATATGACCACGGTTATTTTTTGTATTCATGGTAACCGAAGCACTTTCAACTACACACAATTCCGACGACTCCATATTGACTGTACTATTATTTATTTCAATTGAAGTAGAGCCAGTAGAGGCTTCATTAAAAGAATCACAAAGCTTAGGTTTTTTAAAAAAATGTCTGATGTCCATAACAATATTAACAATAAAACAAAATATTAAATATACTAAATATAATAATTACGTAATTCAGCGTGATCCGTGTTTCTCAGTAGACGGCCCGTTGACAAATAATTAAATTTTACAATAATTCCCAATGTGATATTGTACATTCGATTTATTTTTAGTTATCTCAGTTATCTGACAGACATCGTGTACGTATGTGTGCGTGGTGAGTCGATCGTCATAAGTGGTTTACACACTAGGCGATTAATATCAATTCACAGAATTGAAACGTATTTAATTTTGCGCCATTAATGTAATACGCATTATTTTGTTGGTACGCCTTATAATATATTGTCATTACGATCAACAACACCACACGGCACATACTAAAGTAAAAATATTGATGAAATGTTGATAAATCAAAATAAAAGTTAAAATATTCAACATTCTATTGAATTGCAGGGGGGCAAATGCCCCCTCTTGCCCCCCCCCTCCTGGTGCCCATGCTTACATGTCTTACAGGAGATCAACTAACTGACGATTTTGATGTTTTTATGATAAATTGATCCATTGCTGATATATATTATAAATATTTAACACAACGATAAAAATTGCAAATCCAATTAATAAATTAAAATACAAGTCACGGTGCGTAATGAGTGTTCGACACTTCTGAGATCGTTCGATTTAGAATAAATAATAATATAGTCGATTCAAGACGCTTCAGGCAATTTTACGACGAACCTAATCACCCATATTTCATTGGTTACCTAAATCTAATTCTTATTACTTACTATTTTTAGTTATTTTCAATAAAATGATATTTCATACAATAAATAAGAACTTATCAGCTAATGATATTTATTTATTGGAAACGTTGACGTCAATGTCTAAAAATAGATAAATCAACAATAATTGAAAATTTGCCAAATGGGTCATTATAATATTATCTAATGGCTAAAACTGTGATGTTGCCAATATTATCAAGTTATATTTTGGATTCTTTGAGTAAAAATGAAATTATCTAAATTTATACTTTCATCTTATTAAAATGTTCGTACGTCTGGCAACACTGCTACGGTGTTCCGACGCATACTATGAAAAATATAAAAGTCATTTAAATACCTTTATATCTTGGAAAGAACTGGAAAAAAGATTACATTTGGGAGTGTTTATAAAATGTGAATTTTAAAAGTCTATTGTAAAAAAAAAAAAAGAAAAATGGCGTAATATATTGAAAATTATAATTGATGTAATACATTTTTGCTCAAAAAATAATTTGGCCCATAGAGGTACAACTGAAAAAAATTGGTGATTTGAACCCAGGTATTTTTTTTACGGTTAATAGAACTTATTAGTCACTATTCTCCCGTACTAGCTCAACATGTCCAAGAAGTTAAGCAATCTAATTTTCATACTAGTTATTTTTCACCCACAATTCAAAATGAAATTATAGTTTTGCTAGGACAGAAAATAAGAAATAAAATAATTACCAGTATTAAAGAAACAAAATATTACAGTATAATGTTTGATTGCACACCAGATGTTTCTCATAAAGAACAGATGTCGCAAATTATCAGATATGTTAAGATAACTGATACTGAGATTTCAATTGAAGAAAACTTCGTTGATTTCATTCACTCAAGTGAAAAAACAGGTACTGATTTGGCAAGTGAAATATTAAAAAAAATTAGAAGAAGAGAGAATAGAACTAAAAAATTGTCGAGCTCAAGGGTATGATAATGGGGCTAATATGGTTGGAATATATAATGGTGTGTAAGCAGTAATTTGTAGAAAAAATGTATTAGCCACATTTATTCCATGTGCTGCATATAGCTTGAATTGGAGAATTGGAGTTCATGCAGCAGAAACATCGCCAATAATGATTACATTTTTGGAATTATTCAAAAGGTATATCATTTTTTTTCTAGTTCTGTTTTAAGGTGGGAAAAATTGTTAAGTATTATAAAAGTTACATTAAAAGCCCATTCAGATACTCGTTGGTCATCAAAAAAACGTGCTGTTTCTGCAATAAATGAACATATTACACACATTTATGAAATTTTGCAATGTATATTAAATGATGAAACCCTGAGTGTGGATACGGTTGAAAAAGCTAAATGTCTTCTCCGGTTATTTAAATTTAAAATATTTATCTTGTTGGATATTTGGGACCTAATATTAATACAAATTGATTTAGTTAATTGTTTCTTGCAATCAAAAAAATCAAACAATAGATACGGCTTCACTTATGTTAAAAGGGTTAGTATCGTCTATAATGAATATCAGAAACAATGGAGTTGAGTCCTCAATAAACGAAGCAAAATAAATAGCTACATTTTTAAATATCCCTTCACAATTTGAAGAAAAACATTCAAAAAGTATCAAAAGATAATTTGACGATTCACCAAATGACGAACGAAAATTGAAAGCAGAACAAGAACTAAAAAAAGAATACTATTTAGCCATCAATTCAATTATTTCTAATTTTAGCTGGAGATATGAACAGATGGAAAAAGTTGTATCAAATTTTGGATTTTTAAATGGAAACAAATTATTTAACATGAAATCAGAAGATGTATGTAAGTGGTCAAAAGATTTAGCTATAAAGTACTAAGAAGACCTCAATGGATTTGATTTGTACTCAGAGTAGAGTGTTTTAAAAATCAAGCTCCGAATTTAATGGATAATTTTAAAACAGCTCCTTTAGAGCTACTAAAATATATTTATAAATATTCTTTAAAAAATGTTTATCCTAATACTGATATTGCACTAAGAATATTTTTGACTATACCGGTGACGACTGTCACTTGCGAAAGAAGTTTTAGTAAATTGAAAATAATTAAGAACTATCTAAGGTCAAGAAAAATTAACAAATATGGGAATAATATCAGTAGAACGTGAATTGGCTTCACGAATTAACTTTTTAACTTTGAAGATGTAATTGATGAATTTGCAACAAAAAAATCTTGAAAAGTAAAATTTTAAAAATGTCTAAGTATTTTTTTTTTTTATATACTATTATATAAGGTTATGAGTTCAGTAATACGTTATTCTTTTTTATCCTCATTATATATTATAAATATAATTATTCATTATTAGTTATAATTAATAAATAAAATTAATTTATTTACGTATATATTTTTTATTTGAGTGTTGTATGGGGGGTTATAAAATTTCGAAGGGCGGAAATATGTCAAATAGCCAAGTTAGGTTAGATTAGGTTTTAAATAAGCCACAGGCATACCAGAACGAAAAATGTTTTCACTAAAGACGAATCAAAAGTATTCTCTTCCATGATGTTCCTTTACTATATGATTAAGAGAATTTCAAATAATCTAATTTGGCATCACCTTAAAAGTGTTGGGTGATTTTTGCATGTCATGTTCACTTTGTTGTTATCATGGTTGTATTGTGGGTAAAAAGATAAGAAGAGTGACAGTAAAATTTGGCGCCAGTCTCGTTTACCGGTCATCCAATAATTTTGTTTATTCCGTTTATTATTAATTCTTTTTGGTTTTCATGTTATTCTTATTTCGGGTATCTTGGTTCTTTTATTACTAATCGCTGAGATGATAAATTAATGATTTAAGGAATTTGAAATTCATCGTTGAGTGTAAAAACTATCTGTTATTGAGTTTCAGTACTTTGTTGGCGACGTATTTTAAAATAATACATTATGTTAAGTAGACGTATGAAAAGAATTAAGCCTTCAAGGGAAGATGAATCAACTATTGAATGTCTGAACTTGTTAAGGGAAAAATACAAAACCTTCAGAAAAGATTTCTTAAATGCTTTTAAATTTTTTTATTGGTAAGTTAAATATATGTATTTAAATATATTACAGGCATGTTTGCACATGCTAATAACTGGTTGAGTGAGTAATAATTTGTGTTTTTATTCCTGTTCATTGCTTTTATTAAATAATTGTTTTTCTTATTGACTGTGAGTCCATTATTATATTAGAAATTATTCTACTACCCATTTCTCTTGTACTCAACTCTATGGTTCGTTTCGCAGCTCTCCACTTTTCTCTATTACCATCTAACTTCTTTACTTCCATGTAGCTTAACAGTCCAGCATCAAAAATAATTTACTCAATAAATGAAGTTTTCGGATGTCCTCGGTTTATTTTACCTTCAACTTTCCTTTTTATTTCTCTATAAACTAGTTCTTATAAAGGATATTATTTAGGTAATATATTTTATAATACTTTACCTAAAGTTAAAGATTTCTCTCTAAGTCTTCATTAATTTTGAACAAGTTCCATATCTATGTTGTCTATACTGACTGCTTTACATATTATCATTAATTTTAAAGTTTTGTTGAATTTGTCTCTTAAGATTGCTTCTTGCATATCTGGATTATTATTTTAGAAATAGTGCTTCTCCTATTTTATGTTTTTTATTACTCATATATTAATATGTCCTATTGGTAAATATATACCTTATTTCCAAGGTTATAATAATTATTGAATTTATGCCTCTATAAAATATTTAGTCTAGCTTAAGTTTGTTTAATTTGCTCAGTCAATAATAAGCCTATAAACCTAAAACACTTACCATACTTATACACCATTCGTCAAATTGACGAGTATAAATAAAATGTATATATATTTATATGAAATGAACAATTTTTTATTTATTAAATCATTAAATTATACAAAATTACAACAGTTAGATTATTCTGTTATTATATTGAATTAAAAGTAATGTTTTTTATCAAATTGCTAATTATTATAATTTGGGCTTTTTATTATTTGGTGTTCGCCGCTGTATTTCACTAACAAATAGAACATTGTGTTTTGGTCATCCATCTGTTTTTAGAGTTGCAGTAGCTACAAACTTTTCATTTATTGACAGGCAGTGTTTTTTCCTCTATCACATAGTCTTCAATTTTATTATCCGAATCCATAGCTTCCAATGTATGTATATTATTATTATAATTTATATGTTGGTAGTTAAAAATAATAAGTGAGATTGATATAATATTATTTTATCAATCTCACTTATTATTTCACCCATTATTTATTAATATTCGTATTATTGACGAACTATAATAAACTTGTTCTATTAACTTTTCGTCAAATTAACTAATAAAACTCCATGTATTGTTTACTCTTAGTCGATTTGACGATGTAAGTATTACACAATTAATAGTCAACGACTAACTGATCACACAGATTTGTTTTATTTTATCATTAAAGATGCAAAACAATATTTACAAATGATAGATTGGATGTAGAAGTAGGTTTGATAAACATGCTAAAAAACTACTTTAAAATGATCAGTGTTTATCACATCGACGAATGATAAGTGTTCTAGGGTTGACTACTGGAAAAATTAAATTATTAACTTAAGAGCTAAATTAATTATTTAAATTTAAAAGTAACTATTCAACTAAAATAGAAAAGTACAGGTGAACACCAGCTTCAACTACTGATGTTTGTGACGTAAAGTAGGTTGAAATTTAGTTAATTTTGGTAACAAACTAAATAAATTGCTATTATAATATTAAATCTTTATTAATTATATAAGAACCTGCTCTAATAAATATAAATTACTGTTTTCACTCTTCCCAAGTATTTATTTTAAACTAGCTGACCCGACAAACGTTTTGTCATATAAATTATTTCTAGAGAATATTTTACTAGAAAAAAATAACTAATTTAATATAGGCATGTAAGGATGTGCATAAAAAAAAGGATGTAAGGAAAAGGTATGGAGTGCTGTGAACATTGACAAAATATAAAAATGAAAAAACATCAAACATTTATTTTTTTAATAATTTATTAAAATTGATCCATTAAAATTATATATATCGCTAATTATGACAATATTAGTAAAAAACAATATCTATCCATTAATGCAACATAGTGTACAATATTTTTTGTTATCCCATCTTTCACCAACACAAACTGGATGGTTCGAGAGTACGCCACGTATAATTGTCCGTGTGAAAAATATGATGTGCTCAAATCTAAGCCAAAGACAGACATCGTTTGGCCTTGAGATTTATTGATAGTCATTGCAAATACCAATATAATTGGAAATTGAAGGCGTTTAAATTGTATTGGCACATCTGTGGGTATAATATGGATTCGTGGTAATAATATATTTTCACAGCAGAATTTGCCATTTAAAATGATGGCTTTGATAACATTTTTCATTAATTTTTTAATGACTAATCGCGTGCCGCGTACAACCGTGGTGGGTCATATTACGAAGCAAAATAACCGGAGATCAAACCATCAATTGTAAATTATGCAGTGTCATGCCTGGTAAATCTAATGAGTTTAAAAATTCTGTTGGATAATTTACAGCTTCAGTAGCATCGCAAACTGTATCAATAGATTTGTATGACACCAAGTTTCCTGGTAACAAATAATGTATCTTGAGATTCAATTCGTTGACGTCCACATTTTTTACTACTAAAATTGATCTTTCTGCCAGCCACTCATGATTTGTGTATTTTCTGTGTACATTGGGAAATACCTGGTCAATGATAGCATCTTGCGATTAAATGATGGTGCAGAAATCGATCGGTTATTTTATACATCCCGTTTCATCTGTAGTAACTTTCCTATCTCCAATATCTAACAATTGTTTTGAGAATCTTCTGCATGCAGCTTTTTTTGATTGAAGTGCAAATATCGAAGTGAAAATTTAAGTGTTTTCCTTTATGTTTTTGCTTTCAAAATATTCACCAAAATATTTTTGTAATGTTAATTTTAAAAGATTTTTAATTATGTAGAGAAGTCATTGTAATACTTAATAGATTATTATTGTATTTATATAATACTTTTAAAATAATATTTAAAATTTAGTTGATGTTATCTGTCATTTTTACATATGTAAAATAAAATGTACCAACTTATTTGTATAACTGTCTATATAATTAAATATTTTTTCTTATCATTTTAGCAAGCATACAATGAATATTCCATTTCTTGAAAACGAATTAAAAGATAATTGTTGCGATGCTAACAATCCTATTGATTATGAATCATATGAAATGTCAATTTATATCAAGAATATTTTAGTATGGCTTGATCCTAAGTAAGTTATTTTGTATTTTTAGTTAATTAAATAAATAAATATATATATATAATTCAAATACTATTCAGTAGCTAATTGATCAGCATTCAGTCAAAACTACCATAATTTTTTATTTGAAATGTTGAGTTAATGTACTTATTACTATGTATAGATGCTCTTAAAAAGAATTTTTTGAAAATCTTATTTTTAAATCTCAAAAAAATAGTTTAGGGTTCAGCCTGTATATGTATGTCCTTTTTTGGAACATTTCTAGCTTATGGGGCACCCTAAATTTTTGCAATTTTTTTCAGGGACTTATATTTACTTATATTTTGGGTGAAAAAAATTATGGTGAAATTAGAATTTAGCGCAAAAATTTAGTTTTGAAATTGTTTCTTATAGTATATTATTTTAAGTTTATAATTTTATACTATAATCCTTAAATACTTATTATGCTCAATAAAAATGTTTAAAAGTGTTGCACAGTGGTAGTAACTTCGATTATTTATCTACATATCTGAGCTCAATCCCCACACAAGTTAAATAAAATTTTTGCACTTCTTTTTTTTTTAAGAACGATAATTTTAAAACCAAAATACCTTAACATTTTATATTAAGACAATACCACTTCAAGTAGATTACTGGGTCAAAAAATAAATAATGAATTTTAAATGCACTTTTAGACCAGGTGGGGTCACTCATTCCCTACGCTCGTTCGGATAGTTAAAAACAAAAATGTTCCTCGATTTGCCATGCAACACTACCTCAAGTAGGTCACAGGACAAAAAAGTAAAATGCGACAAATATAATGATACACGTAATATTATATTATTATACAGATTTGAACGTAACAAAAAAAATTTCACATCATTCTAGTGATTTGAACCTATTAGCCTGTACTTATGAGAACCATGTTATCCACGGTAAAGATTTAAATTATTAACCAACATGGGCAATTTAAATAAAACTGTCAACTGTAAATGACTATAACTTCAAAACTTATGATCAGCCCCAATTTTTGTTTGCATCATCCTATTCAGCGTTGAAAAATATATAAAACCAAAAAAAATAATTCCAAAATTTAGGGTGCCCATTAAGTAGAAATATACCTCTTTTTTTTACTTATTGATAATCTAAGGAAATATTTTTATTTTTTTTATTGAATATGTTAATTTTAATAATTACCAATTTAGGTACTTGTAAATTAATCATTATATCTTAAGGAAGATGTCTGATTAACTCACTCATCAATTCCCAGATCAATCCACTAGATCTAGAGACTTAAATTGTTGTGACATCTAATTGTGTAGAGGTGAGGTAATAATGAGATTTACCTTAATCCTTTTCTATGGAAGTGTAAAAGGTTAACATGTTTTTACGTTTTATTGATATATTCATAATTTTTATTTCTATAATATGTACTTTGAAAATACCTTAATATTAATTTCTGGAAACTCAAATCCATCCTTAAAGAATAAATGTCAAAATTGATAACAATAAACTTTTTTTGTGAAAATATATTATTAGTAAAATAATAATAAGCAGGGCATGGAATTATAGTACTTTAAAACACAATAGTAAGCACTAAAATATGCATTCAACACCATTATTAATATATACATTAAAAAATAAAAGTATGAAGAAAAAAAAATTGTATTTCACATTTTAAATTATTAAAACATTAGTAGATTAGTAGGTCTCTGTCCATCAATTTGATATGAGTGTTGATGAGTAAGGGTATAAAATAAATAACTTATTTTATATTTTTATACAGTAAAACCTTGATAAGACGTAACTTTGGTGAGATGGAAACCAAGTTAATACAAATAATTTATTTGGTCCTGTTCAAATACATAATGAAATCATCCAGACTAACGTCTGATCGTTGCGGCTAGTCACAGCTTGGAAACCGTACCTTAAGACATGAAACATTTCTAAGACATTTCCATTTTAAAATAAGTTGAAAATGCCCATTAAGACGGAATATAACATGAAAAGCTAAACTTAGAACAACTTAGTCAATTTTATTATTGTATTTTTGATATCCATACCTTGACTAAAATTAAAGTATACCTAGTTAAAATCTCGCTGAGATGGAAAATAATTAGTTTGGATATGAATTTAGTGGAGAAGGCCCTGACTGAAATTTTAAGATATCTTTGTTGCTATTGATTTTGACCAAGAAGAATTTCTTCGCTTTGATACCAATTTAAGACGCAACAAATCAAAGATTTGATTATATTCATGATTAAGGATTAAGGTGAAAAGAACAAAGAGACTGACAATTATGAAAACTATAAAGAACCAAAGAGTCTGATAAAAGTCTACCAAAGTGCTATATTTTTGTCTCCTAAAACTATAAAAATTCTCCCTAATATTGTTCAATATTGAACTTTTGGATTTGACTTCATGAACCAATGTGTGTGTAAAACACAACACCTTTCAAAGTGAAAAACTAAAGTTGATTATTGACTAAATAATTGTATCATGTATACTGGCTAGAAATAAATAATCTTTAATTTAATGTAATTTTTTTTAATTTTAACTCCTTCAAGATAGAAAAATTATATGGTCCCAAGCAATCCTTATCAAGGTTTTACTGTATTTATTTTCATAAGATATATAATAGAAACTCAATTTTCAGGCCTAATAATGGGGAGGAATTAATAAAAACCACATTTAATCAAAACTTTAATGCATTTTAATTAATTTTTTTTATTTAATACTACTTTTTGATTTAACCTATGTTTTATAAGTGCATATTGTCATGTTCTACAATAATCAAGGCTTGATATTTGATGTAATCAGTCTGTTTTTTTTTTGTGACTTGAAATTTTTTTTTTCTTCACTTTATTTATTTATTTATTTATTTATTTTAATTCATGACTTCATGGAAGTTAATACTTTCCTGCTAGTAAAAGTTCAGGAAGATATCAACTACTTCCACAAATTTGTTTATAATGGTAGGTGGTCTATTCATCGCAAACAATCATGACTGTTAAATCCTTGTTAAATCAGATATTTTTTATTAAAATAATATTATTTATCATCTTTTATCTACATACAATATACTGCTTACTTTGTTTATGTTTATATTGCTCTTATACCATTACTTTTGGTACATACAAATTTTAGGTAGCACAGTTAATTGCAAACACAAATAATCAAGACATAGTTAATCAAGGTTGTATTGTAAATTTTTTTTTTTTTGTATAATTATTAATAGTATATTTTGGTTTAAAATCTAGGAGTTAATTTAAAAGTTGACTAAATTATTTTCAATTCCATTACAGTTATATTGATGAGTTCATTCAATTGACAATAAATGGATTCATAGTTTTGATTTGATATTCAAGAACACAAAGAAATTAGTTTGATTTATATATTATAAATTAAATTGAAAATTGCCCATAAATCTCAAAATCTTTAATTAATTTATTTTTATTATTATTATAATTTTTTTATTTAATTTTAATTTTTTTTTTATAGAATGAAGTATATTCCTGAAGGTCCCGAAAGATCATTAACATTAGGTCATACTCGTAATGTGCCCGATGAAAAAATATTAAGGTTACATCTAACATTCCCTCAACAAAATGAGGAAGAACAGAATACACTTGTCAGTACACAAAATAATTTACAAATTGTTTCAAATAACAATGAAAATCTTGCTATTGCTGGACCATCAAGAAATGTAAGTATAAAAATATATTTTTTATTAATTTTATTAACTTTATATTTTTATTACATTAGAACTAACATTTATTATTACATGATTATCATAATATAGATTTAATTATTTATTAATTAATTTTATTCCCAATTATTAGTGTTACTATTAAAAAACAAACATATTCAATATTTTGTAGGTAGTAATAGCAAAAAAAAACTTGTAAATAAAAAAAAATTAAACACAAATCTGGTGTTCTTGCTTTAAATATTAATAAGGTAATTCTTTTGTTTTTGAATAAAACTATTTTATTCTTTAAAGTGTCTTTAGTTAAATTCTATAATTTAATTTTATAATTCATTAAAATATATACTTACAAAAATTATTTAAATATAAGTTATTCTCAACTAAAATATTGGTTCTATCCTTTTTTTATATCATACATATATGAAGGATTTGAATGCTGAAAATGAATTTTATAGTAAAATGAAAAACATTTATTTTAAATAAACCTAGAAAAAATCTGTATGAAACTTAGAAGATCAAGTAATTAATAATGAAAATGATTGACACCAAATTAAATAAATAAGTTTCCATGAAGCACAAAATCAATTAATTGGACTATACACAGTTGAGACTGTCTTTTGACAATCTGATATACAATATCAACAGTACATAGTTAAATTTATTGATTATTTATATTATTCAAGATACATATAATAAATAAAAATAAAAGGTAGGTACTTATTTAATTTAGCATCAGTTATTTTTATTATAATCAACTTGATTTTCTTAGTTGTATTTTTTCCGAGTTTATTTTAAAAAATGTTATTAAATAAGGAATAAGATTAATTAAATTACCTACTTTCATATTAATATTGGCTTTCAGTTTAAATCAATTGTGGAACAAACATAATAATCGTGAATGTTATGTTATTTTTTTTATAAGACACATTATAACAAATAGAGCCTATGAGTCTTGAAGAAAATGGTCCGCTGTTTAAAAAATTTGAAGGCTCCTGATTTACTTTTAAACCCAAAATTAAGTTAATCCAAAATTACAATTTTGGTCAAAATTGTGTGGACTTAAAAGAAACACACAGTATAACCAATATACTCTATTATAATATATATTATTAATATCATTACTCACTTAACTCAGAATTTAAATTATAACAATAATAAATAATATGACTATCTATTGTTGATACTTATAAAAAAAAAAGCATATTTTTTCTTATTTATGAAGTAAGCAACTTTTACAAAAACCATTATAAAAAATGTTTATTTTAATGTACATTTTTAGTTATAGTTTTACTTATATTGGTTTATTTATAATATACTTTTTCTTATTCATTGAAATCTTTGAAAATATTTATGAAATCAACTAGGGTAACAAATAAATATTTCAGTTGTTAAATCATTGAGGAGAATCTCTTAGTATTAAAATGTAACTAAATAATTTTATGTTAAAATTAGTTTTTAATTTTTATTATTACTGGTTAATTTTTGTTTTTGATATAATTTATTACATATAGTATCATGTAGCTTTAGAAAATTCTTCCCTCCGTGTTGATACTGTCCATTCACATGTAGAAGTAAAACATATTGATTTTGATGATTTTAAGGATGAAGATAACAGAAATTTGAGTTTGTCCCCTTCTTATGTACATTCATTTATTTTTGGCGATAGAAAAGAAGTGATATCTGAATCAGAAAGGACAAAAAAGAAAAAAGACATTTATACAGTAATTTATTAAAAAAAAAAAAAAACATTTTTTTAACAAGCAAAACATTATTTCAGTCAATTAACATATAATAAAAAATTTAAATTTTATATTAGTTTGAAGTTATCCTCATTAAGCTAACCTAACCTTTTTAACCTTCTTAGAAAAACCAACTACTTTTTATTAAAATTTAAAACTTAAGCAGTTCCTCCCCAAATGGTTTATTTGCCTACTACTGTACTCTATCTAACCATTATTCCTTCATCATCATCATAATTTACCTTGTCCTATCAACTTATATTCCTGTAAAATCCTAAAAAAAAAAAATCCTACAAAAAATAAAAATTAATATTCTTATAAATAAAGTTTATTTTTCGGAAGGCTGATAAGGAAAACTTGAAGTTTCTAGGAATGTAATTCCTAACTCAGAAGAAAATAGCAAAAAAATTTTATTAGGCTTTCTGATTCTTCATAGTTTATGCTATTTTTATTATCTTCATAGTTTTCTTGGTCATCAAAGTGAAGAATGTCTTTTTAGTCAAAATAAATAGCAACTAAGATATCTGAAATTTCAGTCAGAGTCTTCTCTGCTGAATTTACGTTCAAACTGATTTTCATCTCAGCAAAAGTTTTCAACTATTAAAGAGGAAACATGTATAATTTCAGCTTAGTGAGGTTTCCATTTTGATTGGATGAATTTATTATGTATTTTATTTATTTATGTTTTTTGTATAATTGATGATTTTCTCTTAGCTCTAAGAAAACATTTTATTTTCAAAAACACGGTGCCTCACTCTAATACTTGAATGATTTAACATTTACTATGATTTAAAAAAAAAAAAAATCAATATTAGAAGAAAGCCATTTTGTAAATTTGCACAGTAATAATATTTAAGTTATAATACAAATGTTTTGAAATTCTATCAATTTTCTATGAATTTATTGTAATTTATAGTTTTCATATATTTTTTTAATGATTTCAAGATAATCTTCTTTTAAAATTACTTAACGATATTAAAAAGAAAAAAAAAAATTGGTTAAACAGAATTTATTATTTATTTTTAATATTTGTATTTTCATAAATGTTCGATGTAATTATCTAGAAATGCTATAAATAATTTTATAACCCAGGATTTTTGTAACCAAATTAAAGTGTCATTTGAAATACTAGTATATTATGCACACTATTAATTAAAGCCTCACTAAATTCCTTAAAAAACATGATATTAGGTATTCAGAGAAAATTACCAAGTCTAAATTTGTTGCATTTGATGCTGACACTAGGACAAATCTTACTCCAGATATTGATAGTATATGCAGTTGCATTCAAACACATCCATTCCATTAATATTCATGTACCAATCTTATTATTATTTTTCCTGTTATTTTAATCAGTTATAATGTTACTTGTCGAATGCTATGATACCTCATAAATAAATAATTTAATTTTTTTTGGGTATTTTGTATTTTAGTATAATATTTAGTTAAAATTATCAATTTATCACCATATTTTATTATTTTTTAAAGATAATTTTTATTAAAATTACTCATTAAAAAATATTATTGTTTGGTGATCTATGATCTCAAACAATTTAAGAAACACTGCACTAAAGAATATTTAAATATAATAAAATATGTGTGCAACAGTAAAATCATTTGTAATCTCATCAGATTTGTTTTTCAAAATATTTTTTTATTAATTTTTTTTCTCTATATAATATTTTAAAATATATTTATTATTTATTGTTATTACAATTTAGTTATTTTAGCATATAAATGTTCTTTTTTTAGTTGCTTATACAAGATTTAACAATTTTCTATTGTACCTATCTTAATATTAGAATACTAATTATATCAGTCTTCTATTAGACATTGTGAGTCACAAATCTAAAACACTTTGTCTTCAGCACTTTACCTATTAAATATTTTATTTGAAAAATATAGTACTAAATGTAAATATTTAAATGTATAATACACCCAATTTAGGTCAGTCAAAGATTTGAATTATTTATATTTTCATATGTTTAAAATATATCCTAAAAATAAATAATTGTCAATTTACTTGTATTATAATTAGTAGTTGTATTGGTTATGGTTGAAGAATAGTTAATGTTATTTTATAATTATTTATTATTTTTTATCCATTTGTATTTTTATTTAGAATTTTTCAAATAATCCTACAAGACAAGCTGATAAAAATATATATGCTAGAAATAATAAAGGAGAAACAAAAATGCATACTGCTTGTGCTAAGGTAAATATAAAATAAAAATTAATAAATCAGAATGATCTAATATTAATAGTATAAAATATAAATATAGATTAATAATTAATTATTCAATTGTACAATTAGGAATTTTAAAAGTGTATTACAAATTTTCAATAAAATAAATTTTTATTTATGCTTAGTAAGCATTGCTTACTATTTATTTTTTTACATTTAACAAAAAAAAAAACAGTTATACAGGTACTATAAGTTAAGTAAAATGTTGTAAATTTAAATTTTTAAGTTTATTTAATTATTTATTTAGTATTGTACTTAAAACCCATTTATACATTTGGTAAATATTTTAAGGAATTTATATTTGAATATACATTTTCACTTAAATAAAATATAACATAAAGAATTTTTAAAACCATAAATAAATGAATATAGTTAATTATATATAATAAATAGGGTTCAGAAGTTATAGGAGCCAAAAAAGGCAATATATGCAAAAAAAATATTAATTTTTTGTTCAAATTTAATTAGTAAATTCTAAAAACCTAAAATTAAAAAAATTTATTTATTGAAAACTAAAATATGGCCCATAACCGGTTGGTATTCGAGATTTTATTGAACTGAAAAAATAGTTAAACAAATACATCTTCATTATTTGTGAAATACAAAATAAATATATATTGTACAATATCTGTTAAGTTGTTGCATTGAACCTCCAACATTTTCGTTAAATTCATAGTAGATAATAAGAAATAACAATAAATAATTATGAAAAATGATATTAAGTTTTATATAATGCATGTTTTCCGCGTTACTAGCGTTTTGTTATGTTATCTAACTTCCGAACCCTAATAATAAATAAATCACGTTTTAAAATATTTATTATTATTATACTTTTTTCAGGGTGATTTGAATTTAGTAACTTCACTACTTGTTGAGGGATTTAATCCTAATGTTAAAGATAACGCTGGATGGACACCAATGGTATATTTTATTATTATATTCGATTATTTAAATCATTGTTAAAACAAAAGTTTATTGTAACAATAAATTAAATAGATAAAAAAAAATATATATATTTTAATTTAACAAAAATTATATTTATATTATTTCATTTAAAGCATGAGGCAGTGAAAAATGGAGAAATGGAGATTGTAAAAATATTGATTAAATACGGTGCATTGTTAAATGTTCCTGGTTTTGAGTATGAAAGCCCATTGCATATGGCTATAAGATACAAGCATTTTGATATAGCTGTTATACTATTGCAGCATGGAGCTGATGCAAAACATATAAACATATTTGGAAATGATGCACAGTAAGAATATTGTAGATTTATTTATTTTAATCATAAAAAACAAGAATTTTAAGTATGATGTTAACAATGTTATTCATTTTTTTTTATCATGCATAATATTTATGATTTCAAAAATTAAATGTATTTCATTGATTTGTTTTATAGATCCTTGGATCCAAAAGCATGGTCAGAATTATTTAGAAACACTAATATAGAACTTCGTTCACCTTCAAGTTTAATACACTTGTATGACTATAAATCAGATCAAATAATTGTATTTCCAATGAAGCTCACTATAAAGAATTCTATAATTAAAAATTTTTCTAAAAAATTCAATATTAAAATTGTTGAAAATATTTTGTGAGTTAATTTTTGACTAAATTACTATTAGTATATCTTTTTATTATTTGGTTCTATATTTTTTGTGCAATTTAAAGGAATAGTAATGTCAAACTCTCTCAAGTAACTCACATAGTTGTACCAAATAAAAAATCAAATGTTTGTGATGTTAATTTGGAATGTTTAATTGGTATCGCTAATGGACTGTTTATAGTTAATGAAAACTGTAAGTATAAATTTATTATATCTTAAACCTTCCAATGTAAATAATTTTCTTTTAGCATTTAGTATTATAAGCTATTTCAAATTAAATATCATTAAAATGCAATTTATTACTTTTTAGATTTTGAGTTACAGTATATCTACCATCCATCTATCTTAAATAAACCTAAGTCATTCATCCCAAATAATATATCCCATTTTCTTCATGTTTTCTTTGGTTTTGCTCACCTAATACTTTTTGGGTCTTCCCTTGGTCTTTATATGATGGTGCAATACTCCATAGCATAAATACTGAGTTTCTTTCTCTTCTATACCCATATAAAATTTGAATTATTGTAGCTTTTACCTTTTACTATTATTTCTTATTTATTATATCTATCGTAGTTACTTAAAAATATTACTTATTTTTTCCATCTTTTTCCATTTTAGTTTATATTTATATATTTTACAGGGATATCTGATTCATTAAATAAAAATCAACTTCTGTATTGTATTCCATATGAAATTAATGGAACTACAATGTATCCTAATGTGAAGAGTTCATGTATTTCTCGAATACATAAACAAAAACTGGTTAGTATACTTATTTAAGCCTAAATTTATCAATGTTAAATGTTAATTTTGTTTTAAATAATACAATTTCAAAAAAAAAAAAATCTTAAATAATAACAAAACTATTTTTTATTTACTCATTCAATATCTATATCATAATTTAATACAATTTGTATTCTAATTGTTTATTATGAATGTCAAACAAAAAATATATTTTATAAATTTGGAAGATATATTTCTGTCAATTTTTTGTTTATATTCATTTAAATACAGTCTAATATTTATTATTTAATAAATCATATTTATTATGATTAGATAATCTTCACTAATGTATTTAATCTTTTACCTTTATGCTTAGTTAATTATGATATATTTTTAGTTGTTCCGATCTAGTAGCTAATATAATTGATTAATTATAGAATTTAAATATAAACACAATATACTTGTATTATAATCATATACAACATTTAATTTAAAAAAAAAATCTATGAATTATGTTTGTTTGTATAAAACAATCAAACTATACTCTTTGAATTAATATAATTGTTTATATTGAAATTCAATAAACTGAAAATATATTAATAATATTATAATATAGTTTATATATGAATTGTTACATTTTTATTTATTTTTCAGCATCCAAAATTATTTGATGGCATAAATATACATATTAGTGGAAATATTGGTTGGAAACAATTTACTCGAGATAATATAAAGCAGTTGGTTCTGGAATTTGGAGCTAAACTGCTTAATCGTTTCCCAAATCCTGAAGATTGTCCAATTAATATAATACCATACTATTGTCGTAACAGTGAACAGATGCGCAATGTTTCTACTATTGTACTTTATACTGAAGACTCACATAGACTGATTAAGTATAATATGAATCACCTAAAAGTATTTCCCATTTCATGGTTTATGGAAGTTATACTTAAATATTCTATAGTGGATAATATTTATTTTGATGAATAATTTATCGTATATTAATAATAATCATTATGAATTATAGGTGTTTAATTTAAAATTTAATTTACTTAATTAATTAATTTACTCTTTAAATTAGTATTTTTATATCTAAAATTTTATTTTAACAAATTTATAGATGTATACTTTTAAGCTAAATTTTGCTTATATGAATAATTTTAATTTTATTTGGATAACTTATTTTGCGTATAGTTCATTTTTCTTTTAATTTCACTGCTTATATATTAAAATATTGTACTATATTCATTATTAGATGTATCTATATTAAACCTTGTATACAATGTAAAAATTATTAAAAGAATAAACAATTACATTGTAATTAAATATTAATGAATGTTATAGTTTATTTTGAATGTATTGAAATACAACTCACTATATATCATATATTAATTATTGAGAAAGTTATAATTATATTTATAACTTAAAAGTGTAAATAATAAATAATTATTATCATGGAGTTCCGATAGGATGATTAGTTTAATCATCATTAGTTTAAAAGAGTTTCTTGATTTCTAACCTTATTTCTTAAGCTAATTCACTACAGAATGCAATTCTATTTTGATAGCTTAAATTGTATATTTAAAACCACGAGTGAAAATTAAGTTTATTTGTGTATATTATATGGTTTGGATGTTAAGTTATTTTTTTGAGGTTCAGTCCATAATCAACCCATACTGCTAATTATATACCAATTTTTTTCTGAAAATTTTTACATCTTATAATTATTTATATATTTTAGTGTCTAATTTTTTTAGTGTAGTAGTGCAGATGGTGTACTAAAATAAAATTATCACCTTTTGTGACACGATTTTTAAACAACACACTCCTCTAAACGATGAATTCATTGTTAATATTTACTAATAATCATGGGCGTCCCCAGGGGGTGGCAAGACGGAGCACTTGCCCCCCCCCTGGAATAATATTATTTCCACAGAAATTGGTAAAATTCCAAATGATAAATTAGTTTCTAAAAATAGGTCTACTAAGTTTCCATAACATATGTCAACGCACAGCTGACGGCTATTTATGAAAATTATCATCTGTATATATAAAACAGTAAGCTGATTGACTGCTATCAACGCACAGCTCAAACCATTGGACGGATCTGGCTAAATTATGAATACGCCAAAATTGAAACTGAAAGACTAAATTACATCAAAAACAACCAAGCCAAATTGCGTGCAGATAGTTATATTCATTTAAAAGATGCAATTGGACGACGAGACATAGAAATTAATCAGTTAGGCCAAATGGTTATACTCCCGTCAACTTTTACTGGTGGGCCAAGGTACATGTACGAAAGAATACAAGATGCTATGACCTACGTTAGACATTACGGTCGTCCTGACCTTTTTATTACTTTTACATGTAATCCTCGCTGGGACGATATAAAAGAGCTCTTACTTCCCGGTCAAAGATCATATGATCGACATGATATAATTGCAAGAGTGTTTCGGTTAAAAGTCAAAAACACCATGAACTTATTGACAAAAGGTAAAATATTCGGAGAAGTGAGATGCTATATGTATTCAACAGAATACCAAACTGTAGAGAGGTTCAGGTAGTTGTAAGCTATAACTTATCGAATAGGTTATGATAATAATCATTATCTTAAAAACTAAATTAATATGTATAAAATATTATTTCAGAAATATTAATTAATTTAAATTTCAATAGATTTAACAAAATTTAATCTTGGCAGTTACATACATTTATATACTTAAACCCGGCAACGACGGGTAATTCAGCTAGTTAATAATAATCGTACTATTTTATCTTAATGTATTTTTTGAGTGATGTTTTAATTGTACATTATACATAAATGTCAGTAATGTTTTAATTCATAATTTTAATAATGACGAAATTTAATAATTTACTATAAATAAAATGTATAAAAAAATTTTCATTCATTTTTTAAATTAATTTCCCCCCCCCCCCCCCTAGAAAAATGTCTGGGGACGCCCATGCTAATAATGCAATGTCTAGTTCGTCCATTTTATACCGTCGCACATCACACAACTCGAGTGAATACTTGATAATGTAGTGAATATGTATGGCCGCTAACCATCAATACCGCACTTTATAGAAAAACAATACAGGCGCCTACAATAACGTATCTAGACATTTTTTTCGGAAGGGGTCCAAAACATGCATATCGTATATTTAATTTAATTTAGATTTTAACTTTTGATATTTGGTTAAAAATTAGACAGAAAAAGATTTAATCTTTTTTTTATTAAAATTAATATATTTTCATATATAATGATATAAAACTAAAAGCATTCAATGATTAATTGGAGCTTAAGTCATTTTTGAGTGAAAATATTTATGTTGGTATTAATAATTAATAATTAATCCAGACACCCTGGACCTCCCCTCAGTTACGGCCTTGGGCGCCTATCATATGACGGTCGCTAGGTATGGCCGCTACTTTTCTAAGAAACCATAGCTTAAGGCCGCATGCACATTCTAAAGTGTTGCGTGGTAAGCGATGAAATGTGTACATCAAACAGCTAGCGATGAGCGTTGTCTGCAATATTTAGTTGTCCTGCAGTCATCATTATAGCACCGTCTTCAAGAGTTCGACTTAATTTACTTTAACGAAAATAATTTTTACTAAATCGCTTTTTAAGAAGAAAAAAGGATTGTAGTTTACGAAATGAACAACATTGAAAAATATTAGATGAATTTTATCGAATTTATAATGAGCTATTAAGATATTGGGATAGATTATTTTTACATTTTATACCATATCAATGGAACTTCTAATTTTAATTTGTCTATAAAAGAAAAGTACTTTTCAGAAATGAATCAATATCAAGTAATGCAGAATTGAGAATTATTATTTCAAATAATAAATGTCTAAGTGTCAGGGGCGTATTTAGACTTACTTCTAGGAGTGGGGGGGGGGGGCAACTCAAATTTTTTTTTAATTCAGGCTCAAAATTTACAAGTAAAATTTTTGGTAATATTTATATCAGGTGAATCCTTAATATTTGTGGTTTTTTTTTTAATCTAATGCCGGATCCACTTAGAATGGTCTTTTGTGTAGTTCTTTTTTAAACACCTAACTGTGTTTTAAAAGTTTCAATTGTGTTTTATCTAATTTTTCACTAAGTATGGACTGGGTCTTCATTCAAAATAATATATATTATTTATCGTTATGGGATATATAAACGTTATAAGCAATTGAGTGTTTAACGCTATAAATAATTTAAACGTTATTCAATTTAAGCGTTTGAACGTTACACAAATTTAAACATTTAAAAAATTTTCCGTTTACTGTTATTGACAATTATAAGGTTATGAAAAATTTAGGATTTTACGTTATTTAAATTAGTGTAAAATTTGAAAGTTTTCAAATATAGTAATAATATAAAATAAATCATAATTTTTGTTTCTCAATAAAATATCCATTACTTATATAAAAATTGTCTTGGTCTAAAAATTCTCGGGGGGGGGGGATTGCCCCCATCACACCCCTCAAATACGCCACTGCTAAGGGCCAGTATAATATATTTATATTGTCGCCATGTCGGCTGTTATGCTTCATGCCTGCCTGTAATATTGTATAGGAAGCTATTTTTATAATTTTATATTTCTATGACAATAGTAATGACAATAATATTTAAATAGTTAAAAATTTAGCAACTAACATGTGTTAATCAGCTGTAATGACATTCGATCAGAACCACGGTTAAACAAAATTTGTCAACATGCTCCCATAGACCTATGCGCAAGATCCTATTAACTCATATTCAAATTATTGAGGTTATGTTGTTTTTAAGTAACATGTGAAATTTATAACAACAAAGCTGGCATGTCTGATGATACATTTTTTATCACCAAACACAATTTTCGATTATTTGAAAAACTGTTATTTTGTTATTTGTAAATTATTTATATAATGACTACCCTTAAATGGGATAATATTAAAACGATTGGCGATCAAGATGCTGTGGATGACGTTTCGTCGGATTCCGATATTGAAATCGAAGTAATTTTAATAATTTTCATTGATTTCATCGCTTTAAAGCATTGATATAGACTTTTAATTTTACCTTTTAGTACCAACCAAAAAAACATAAGACTAAGGGTGATTCACATTTCGATGATGAATTTAAGTTTTTGTCAATGGCATCCGAATATAATCAAGACACATGGGATGATTTGCAAAAATATGTAAAAAAAAAAGGAACCAATAGAATTGATGAAAAAATAGAAAAAGCTCGTAGATATGTGAAATCATTTGTGAGTAATTATTAGTTTTATCGTTATAAATGTTTAAAGTCCAATGTAAGAAAAATTTTAGTTGCCTGATGTCACTACTGAGGAACATGAAGATTACAATGAACCATCAGATTGTGATTCATTATCCGAAGATGAACTAAAAAAAGGTTATGTGTTTACATATATTCTTATTTAATTTGAATTTGATTTACATGGTTGATTAAATTTTCAGATGGTATCAAAGATAGACAGAAACTGGTTGGTAAAAAAAATAAAAAAAAAAAGGAAATTGAAGAAAATAAAAATGATATAACTATTGAAGACTCTGAAGAATTTTTCGAAGATGCTCCTCCATTTGAAGAAAATGCTACATTTTATCAAATGAATATTTCAAGACCTTTAATGAAAGCAATAAGTGCCTTAAACTATGTTCATCCGACGCCTATACAAGCTGCTGCAATACCTGTAGCTTTATTAGGTAGAGATATTTGTGGTTGTGCAGCTACAGGTACTGGAAAAACAGCAGCTTATATGTTACCTATTCTAGAAAGACTTTTATACAGGCCAAAAGGGTTTACTCCTATCACTAGGTATATTTTTTGATAACAAAAATATATAGTTATTAATTTAGTGTATTGTATTAGAGTTTTAGTTTTGGTGCCAACTCGAGAATTAGGTGTACAAGTTTATCAAGTTACTAAACAACTAGCACAGTTTACTACAGTTGAAGTTGGTCTTTCTGTTGGTGGCTTAGAACTTAAAGTGCAAGTAAGATCTAACAATTAAAATAATTGAATGAATTTCCTTTTAAATTTTCTAAATTTTAGGAATCTATACTGCGAAAAAATCCAGATATTGTTATAGCTACCCCTGGTAGATTATTAGATCACTTACAAAATACACCATCATTTTCATTGTCAGATTTAGAAGTATTAGTATTAGATGAAGCTGATAGAATGTTAGATGAAAATTTTGCTGAACAAATGAAAGAAATAATTAATATGTGTGCTCGTAACAGACAAACAATGTTGTTTTCAGCTACAATGACTGATGCTGTTAATGATCTTGCATCTGTTTCTCTAAGCAAACCTGTTAAAATATTTGTTGATAGTAATACAGATGTTGCATTTAATTTAAGACAAGAATTTGTAAGGTATTTAAAAATATTATTCAATTTGCCACTAAATTCAATTAGAAATTAGCTTATTGTTTATTTACATTTTTTAGTTAAAATGGTGTTTACATTTAAATGTAGTTAAATTTGTTTAATTTATAGATTGCGCCAAGGAAAAGAACAAGATCGAGATGCAACTTTAGCTGCTTTAGTGTGTCGTACATTTAGAGATCACACAATGATATTTGTGCGAACTAAAGCTGATGCTCATAGAGTGAAAATCTTACTTGGACTTTTTGGTTTAAAGGTAAAGTTCAGTATTGTTGTTATTCATTTATAATCTTAATTTTTATTTATAAAGGTTGGTGAATTACATGGAAATTTATCTCAACCTCAAAGATTAGAAGCACTGCGTAAATTTAAAGATGAAGAACTTGATATATTAATTGCTACAGATGTTGCAGCTCGTGGATTAGATATTCGAGGAGTGAAAGCTGTAAGTTAATTTATAAAATTTATATTCATAGTATTCAAAGAATTTTATTTAAATATTTTTTATATCAATAGAAAAAAAAGAAAAAATCTTGGAAAAGTTAAGTTTAGATTATAATTTATAATGACCTTTTTAAAATAATAAAATAATTTTTATCAAGGTATTAATATATTTAATAATTTTTTGTTTTTATTTTAAAAGTATCAACCACAAAGCAATTTTGTTTTTATTTTTAATGTTTGTTTTAAATAATTAGGTTATTAACTATGTTATGCCACCAACTGTTGAACATTATATTCATAGAGTTGGTAGAACAGCCAGAGCAGGTCGATCTGGTGTTTCTGTTTCAATCGCAAGTGAACAAGACCGCAAAGTTCTGAAGGAAGTAATCCGTAAAGCTAAAAATCCTGTAAAAAATCGTGTTATCCCTATTGGTATGTACTGTGTATACTTATAACCATATTATAATTATAATACTTACTAATTAAGGGGCTTTAAATTTTTAGAAATTTTAGATAAGTATAAAGAACGTGTTGATTCTCTTAGAAATGAGGTTAAATGTATTATGCATGAAGAGTATGAAGAAAGACAAATGACTCGTACTGAAGAATTTGCTGATAAAACTGAAAAAATGGCAAAAACCAGTATTGGCAGTTTAGTAAAGAAAAAAGATGAAAAAAAAAGAGATTGGTTCCAGACTCAAAAAGAGAGACAAGAAGCTAAAAGTGAGTAATTTAACTTGTGTCTTGAATAAAAATATTTAATTTAATTATATTAATCATAATTTATCTGTAGAGCGATCCCGAGAAGCTTTTTCATCTAAAATAGAAAAAAATATTAAAAAGAAAAAGAAAAATACTGATGGTGAAGGTGGTAATGATGATGAAGAAATAGAAAGTCAAAAAAAAATGCAAAGAGTAGCTAATTTCCAAGCTAGAAGTGCTAAGAATAAAATGAAACCTAAGAAAATGAAGGCAATGTCAGATATTGATCAGGGTATGTATAGTATAAAAATGTTTAATGTATTGTTATCATATTTTATTCAATATGTACGGTTTTATAGGTAAATTTTCATCTAAGTCTGCTAATGGTAAACAAAAGAAAGGAAGTTCTGTTTTTGACTCACAATTTACGGATGTAAGCAAATCTGGTGTTAAAAAGTACAGATATGAGTAAGTATATATATTTGTATACATTCTTTAATATATTTAATATCTATAAAAACCTTAGTTTATTAAGTTATAGTTGCTCCTTTATTCTTAATTTGTTTTTATGTTTTTCAATAAATAGAGCTAATCAAGCCAAAAGAATGTTGGCTAAAAAGAAATGTGATTTAATTCAAAAAGGAAAAAAAAGAAAATCAACATTTCAATCCAAAAAATTAAGTTTTCAGGGTAAAGGAGGGAAAAGAAGATGAATATAAAATATATAATGAAAAATAACCATTTGTATTTTGTCGTTAATAAATGATTTTGTCAAATTGTTGATCATAATTTTTTTTTTTTTGTTTTTCTATAGAGATGTTACATTTTTTATCTAACATGACAATTCTAGTTTTTAGTTATTCAAACACGTCACTGGAAAAAAATAAAATATAGTAACTATTTGGAAAACATTTCCGCTTCCTACTTACAATATATGATAAGAACTTATGATCAAGTGATAATCTTTCATTTAAATAGAAATGTATAACCTATATTCTATATTATCATTCCTTATAAGATAACAGCTGTTTGTTTAACAGTATTAAATCACCTAATAACATTTTAAGTTTTTACTTATAATTCATAATAATAATGATTTAAAACAGAATTACTAACCTTGGCTTTAACATTATAAATGTATAATCATGTTAACCAGCAACCTTCTCATTCTGTAGTTTGTAAATTAAATTAATGTGTTTGGGATACAATAATGGCTAGCGGTCCTAACTCCATTGCTGTACCTCCTTGCAGTGACATGGATAAGAGAAAATCTCCTCAATTAAGTTTTAAAAGGAGAACAGTTGTAGCTAACTCAGATTCAGTAATTTATCATTAATAATTAAATAACAACTTTATTAATTAATTATAATTAATAAAATTATTTTATTACTTATGTAGGATGCTAGTGTAGACAGTAATACACCTTCAGTCGAATCTAAAGAAGATGGATTTGTATATCAAAAAAGAAAACTTGAACGAGAACTAGGTAATTCAATTTTTGCACAATTAGTACAATAGTATAATGTTACATTTTTAAAAGCCAATATATTAATAATTTACATTATTCAGTGGCAAAAATACTTTATTTTAAAAAATATTTAGTTTAAGTATGTACATTATTAATTTAAATTCCAAAAAAGGTTCAAAAAAAGTAATTCGTCGAGGCACGGAATGGGAGATAGTTGAAGGCCTAAAAGATGGACAAAGATATGATAAAAAACCAGAACTCTTTAGAGGTTATTTGCATAAAAAACGAAAATGGCCCCTTAAAGGATGGCATAAGGTTTGAAAGTTTAATATAATTTATAATTTTGATATTTAATCGTATCTAATAACCATAATTAATCATTTATAGCGTTATTTTGTATTAGACAAAGGAATTTTAAAATATGGAAAAAATCCATTAGATATGTCAAGAGGCAAAATCCATGGTCAAGTTGATATTGGATTATCAGTTATATCTACTAAATACCAACGAAAACGATTAGACATTGATGCTGAAGAATTTATTTATCATTTAAAAGTATGTATTTTATTCAGGTAGTATTTTATAGTATTATATACATGTATTTTATGATAAGATGATAATTACAATTAATACATAATATATGATGATAATAATATATTATCTTATTAAATCTCCTCTTTAAGCTTTTAATATCTTAAACATTTTTAATATTTATTAAATAAGTTTCTAAATTAAAAATAAACTTCAGATTTATTATTTGTTTTACTCAGTATTTTACTTGAATTTTCAGCATATGTTAAAAAATACTTCTTACCAATAAATTGAATCACTTTAAATTATTAATTCATTTAAGTATTTGCATTTTTTAAATTATTTATACACATAATATAGTTAAAGGACATTTGGAAATTTTATCAATAATAGGCAGTACATTTATATAGAAAATACTTAATCTGTAGTGTTTTTACCTTTATTTCCTATTTTTAAAATTTCCTCATAATATTTTCTCTTCTGTACCAGAAACTTAAATTTCTTGTTTCTTGTAAAAATAATACATTTTTGTAAATTATTTGAAACATAAGTACTAGTACAAAAAATATTTATTTTGAATATAAAATGATAAATTATTTTTATGAAACTTTTTATAAAAAGAATTGATTTAAAATATATAACCCTTTTTAATCATTAATTTCAAAGAATATTTTTTTCATATTATATTATGTATCTAATTTAATTTAAAAAACATTTTGTTTTCACCCATATATTAAATTAAAATATATACATTATTAAAAACTTTTTTTATGATGTAGAATTCAAACCATTTTAAATTATATATAAATATATATTTATGTCACCATTTGCTGACTCTTTAATTTTTTTTATATTATTCTTTAAAATTCATTGTGAATAAATTTAATTATTTACAAAATGCTTTGTATCAACAATCATATTATTATTAAAATTTAAACTATTGCTTTAGAATAAAATAACTATACAATTTGAAGTATAATCAAGGACCTTGAAATGAATTATATGCAATTAATTATATATTGAATTAAATTCAATTATATTACTGTTTCATTAAAGATATAGAATTTAAACAAATAATTAAATCAATTATAAATAATTTTTTTATTTATCGTAAACATTTATTATTGTATTTATTATTAGTACCTATTATGGCTTTTGTTATTCTAAATTTATTTATTTTAGAGTAATTAACTATAATAAACATAACAAAATGAATATATTTTTTTTTAAATATAAATAGTAATTTTATCTTTGATTAGTTTTAAATTTTGAATAACCATATAAATTTATTTTATATTTACTTTTATGACTTCTTATTAGAATTATAGAGAGCATTCAAGTGTTACGTTACCAGACACAGGGATAGGTTTTGATATATCTGATAGTACATGAAGAGGAAGAGGCTAAATCTCAAATCTAATGTCACCATCGTATCTATCAAAATTCAAATTAACTTTCCAAAAAATCAATAGTTAATAAACTATTGATAGCATCAAAGACTTGATATCTTATTTTTCTGATTATTATTTTTATTTAAATAATTTAATTAATTAATTGTATTAACAATGATGCGGCACACTGGTGACGGATAAAATAATTTGGGAGATATCTATAAAAAACATTGATGTAAGATAAGAGAAAGAGAAGAGTCACTGTCTGATATAAAATGAATAGAAATAAAGAAATAGAAGAATGGAGGATCAAAAATGCTAAAAAAATACTGTTTTATACTTGGATGCTCCCAAATTAAATACATTAATATGAAATTTTATGTTATTTTTTTCATTACTTATTTGTCATTTTAGATCAAATATTTTTCTTATTTCACTAAAAGTAAGTTCTATAAATTAGTATTTATTTTAGAGTTGATAAAACTTTTAACTCTAGTTGGCTCTTTTTTAAGGGTAGGTAAAATAAATAAAGCTTCAATATAAAAATTATTTTTAAAATCAATTTTTTTTAATCGCATATGAGTGGGGAGAGAAATGGTTGAATCGCTAAGAATTCCTAGCTATGCCATCATAGCGACTTATTTTAACTGATTTAAGAAAAATGATTTCCAATATAAATATTATTCATAATTATAAAATATTAATTTATGACTAAACCATAGTTATGTTTGAAATTAAAAGAAACACATGTATATTATTTTTAACTTTTCTATACTAAAGTATTTATATTACAGGCGAAAACATTTGAAGCTTTTACCGAGTGGGTGAAAGAAATAAAACAGCATCGCCTATATAGACAACATGTCTTAACTTTTGGTCAGACAAAACAAACGCAATCGCCTTTACAAAAAAAAACATCTTGTAAGTATAATATAAAATTCTTTCAATTTAGTCTGCATAAGTTTAAACATACATTACTCATGATTATCGTAAAAGACAATTTTTATATTTTTAATTTTTCTGACAAAAACGTTCACTATGAATGTCTTTGCGGTCGCTCTGTTATCTGTATTTTAATTAAGTAAATTGTATTATCCGTTGTTTTGTTTTCAACTGAAATAAAATTATAGTTCGTTCCATTAAAAGTTGGTCTCACACGCCTATATCATCTAAACAAATAATATCCAACAATTCTATTTCTCCTCTTCATGAGATTAGTCACTGTAGCTTATAATTCTTAGCCATATATTTTTCTGTTTCTAAGAATATTTGAATAATATTTTTGAAAATAGTGATATTACTGGCATTTTTACAATTATATAATTATTATCAATGTGTCACCTTCTAAAAATGTGTAATTAAATATAATTGATTAAAATAGTATGACTACTTTACATTACTTTATATAACCTTTTTCTTTTTTTTTTAAAAAAATTTATAATTTAACCATCAAAGTTATTTTAAAACTTATAAATAGGTATGTAATTGAATTGATTTATTTAATTTGTTGTAAAACTTAGTCAGATTTACATTATCAACATTATTGTGGATTAATATCTTCAAAAATATTTCATTGATGAATTATAATCATTCACATTCATCATAAAAATATATTAAATTAACAGTGGCGCAACTTGATAATAAGGGGCCCTTACCTAATAGTAAAAATGAAAAACAGTCATATGTTGTTACCTTTTAATATATTTTTAGAAAATATAGTTTTCTTGTATGTCATGGTTAATATAATTTATTGTAATTAATGTATTTAATATTAGTTAAGTTTTTTTTATATATATATGTATAACATCAAACATAAAAATTAAATTTTCTGGTTTTTATAATAACAAAATCATTAATTGTTTTGTTTATATCCAATTCATCTGTCTTGTCTTTTTCGATGTTTAATTTACTGATGTTAGAGAGACGATCTTGGCCAATTGAGTTTCGCAGATAATTTTTTTATTAGTTTTTAATTTTGAGAAGGATCTCTCTGCTGAAGCAACTGTTACAGGTAAGGTTAAATAAATAAGACATGCGCTTAAGACATCACTTTAAGTAGTGCTAAAATCATTTTCTAAAATAAATATGGCAAGATCCTTTATATCTTTTATTTCTAAAATGTTTGTTAACAATTCTTTTATGGAAAGTAATTGACGAGTAAAGTCTGGACTTATATCATCCTGATATAATTGTACAAAATCATAAGAAGCTTTGACTATTTCTTCGTCTTTACTTGAAACTAATATAGATGGATATAGAAAATAGAAAGTAACTAACTTTTTTTAAGCCATCAAATCTTGAATTTAGTTGAAATAATACTGTATCTATAATTGGTAAAAATATTTTAATTTTTAAATTTTCTTCTGTAATATTTAGTCAGCGATCTCCATTAATCTCATCAAAATGTTTAATTGCAAATCTTGTTTGTACTGTTTAATAATTTGTTGGTATGTCCCAACTTTTGCTTAGATTTTTGGTTGTTAATAATACATTTTCATTATCACATCTTAATCTTGCAATAAAATTAGTAGCCTCTCCTAAATTTTTAAAATCATTAAATAAATTTGTAATTTTTTTTTTTGCATTAATTTTGATATGCTGTGTAGTGGTTTTAAAATATTTTCCCAAAGGCACAACAAAAAAACAAACTCCATTGACTCTGTTTTTTTTTTTTTTTTTTAAACATACTAGCAAACCTCTCATCTATTTTTTGACTAGTTAATGACTATTTGCTAAGGAATTCAAAACATCTTTAAATCTTATTTTCAACGCATATAATGACTCATGCCAAGATTCCCAACGAGTTGGGCATACTTTTTTCAATACTTTTTGTTTAATTTTGCTAGATACATCTTCTCCAAATGCAAGAGTTGACCATCTGGGGGCACTGGAACTAAAAAATAAAAATATTGCTTGAACTGTATTAAAGAAATGTAAAGCTTTTTCAGAAGTTTTAATCGCATCTGATATAACTAAATTCAGGTTATGTGAGCAAGAGTGAACATAAAATGCATTTGAAACTATATCTCTAATTCTTTTTTGTACTCCAGAATATATGCCACTCATTACAGCTGCTCCATCACATTCTTGTCCTTTACACTTTTTGACATCCAATTCCAATTTCAATAAAACATCAATTAATAATTTTTCATAATTTTCTGCCCCATGTTGATCAATTGCAAAAAACCCATAAATGACTCTTCAATTTTTAATGTTCTCAATTCATAATTTAACACTTTTTTGTCTTTTTATCTTTTTTATCACAATTTATCTTATCACTCCACTAACTTGGTCAATTTTATTAATGTCTTGTGTAGAATCCATGATAATTGAAAAACCCTGGGCATTTTATATTTCTTTACATAGTAATCTCTGTGTGCTTGTAACTAATAATTCAATTATTTCATTTTGCTCTTTCCAACGAGGTACTTAATTTTTTTTTTTTCATAATTTAACAAATTGTTTATTATAGAGTCAAACTCTGATAAAAGCTTTATAGTCCTCATGAAATTACCTGTAATAATAAAATAAAAAATATTATCTTATATACCTATCTACCTATCAATTTTTTACAATATATATAATTGCAATATTTTTACATTAATATTATAATTAAATTATTTATTATATGTTTCACATTTATGTCATGATGACCAATATAATTTAAATTATTTACCTTCACTTGTAATTAATTCATCATTATTTTTGTGCTCATGTCCTCCGAGTGCTGTGTTCCCAACTGTTAATGATAAAATCACTTAAATTATTCGTGTTAGGACTTCTCTCCAATCGGTAGCTTCATCTGAATATTGTTTTTCTGTAACTTTGTCTATAGTATAATTTTTTTCCCAGTTATAACGAATCTTCCCAGCATCAATATGTTGAATAGATTTCTCATGTTTATCAATTTTAAATGTTAAATGTCTCCAGTCTTTAACTTCATTAATCCATGCAGTATTATAATATGAATACTGTCGGTTGGCAAATAATCAACATGTTTCACAATAGGCTACATTCATTCCGAGTAACACAAACAAAATCTTTGAACTTTTACACCAGATTTTAAAGTTATCTCAAGATGAGAATTTATAGTTATTACCATCTTCATGAGTACTACTAGGAAAAACTATATTTGGTCGACAGGGTCCATAAGCCAAAATAGATCTTTTAGTATAACTATCATTGATATTTTCATTAAAATTAACTCTATCAATTGGATATTCATTCTTTAAATTCAATTCTATTAAAAATCAAAAATCAAAAATTAAAATGATATATTAAATAATTTAATAATTTAAATTATATTTACCAAGGGCACTTGTATGAGCTATTTTTTTTCAATATCAGTAACATTAACTGTGTCAATATCAACAACAGATTCAATAAATTCAGATTCACAATTTGTATTGTTACTATCTTTACTGTCATCAACATTACAACTATCCATACATTCTATACATAAAATACAATTTTAAATAATGCTTAATTATTATATTTTATTACTTTATTTTAAAATTAAAATCAAAAAACAGAAATTTTTGTTTACAGAAAAATGTTTCAACAAGTAATGTCATATAGTATGGCTACATAGCGCTTTTACATTGATTGTAACAAATTAAAATATTTAATATTATTATTATTTAAAATATACCATTATTGATAGATTCAGCATTTCAACTATCATTCAATGTTTTTGAATCAGATAATATTGCGTCTTATAAAATAATCTAATGAGCCCTTCAATTTTTTAAGTTCTTCATCTTTTTCTAATTTTTGTTTTCGTTTATGAAGCCCTATTCAAATATTACCTTGAAGACATTTAGTTTTTTAGTGTTTTTACTTATAAAAAACATGAAATTTAAATTTAAAGAAATAAATGACGATTTTTAAATTTTAAATGTTTTAATAAACATAAAACAATACTTGTAGGCAGTATATACCAATAAGTAATAAACTAATTCAATAATATCGATGGCATTTTGTTGAAAGGGCGTATACCACAAAAAATTGAAAAATGAGTTTTTGGTATCAAAATTTTCAGAAAAAATAGGCGCATAATTTGTAATATTGAGGCGGTTAAAAATATTAAGAATTATTCTCTATATAGCGGATATAAGTTATCCAAACGCCCTAAAGAATAAATATATATATTTTAATGGAGAATTTTAAAAGGGCGTATACTACAGGAATTGCTAGTGGTTTTATCGAATAAACTAAGCATTTGAATGATAATTGTTATCAAATTATCAACATGCCTACTATATAAAAGTATATCCAAAATCAACCGACCTTAGCGGTATCATTTTTAAAAACACTATTTTGTTCCTCCTGAACAATTTCAATTATGTGGTATACGCCCTTTCAACAAAATACGATCGATATAATATATTATCTATCTTGTTTCTAATATTATTATCATCATTATGAGAATTCTATAAATAGATAGGTTTTATATTTTATTATCATCAGACAGATTGTTACGAGTCAAGACTTACACACTTCACATACCAGCATAATATTATGTATAACATTAAAAGAAGTTTCAATTACAGCTAGTCTATACTCTATACCCGCATTCGGGCATTTCAGTACCTATATACTGCATTACGGTACACGAGATTCTTATATGTGTACTCGTAATCTAAATTCAAAAGAATAAAAATATTATTATTTATTATATTAAAACAAATGATATAATATATATTTATTTGTTAAAGAATATAGTAGGAATATCGTATATGAGATTTTTAATTAGGGGCCTCTCAAGACCGGGAGCCCCTGTGAATTGCACACCCAACACTCCCGATAATTGCGCCACTGTAAAGGGATTAACAACATAACATTAATTTTCATTCACTTCTGTTATAAGTTTCCTAATACAATTTTTGTTTGTACTTGAAATTAAAAATTTAAATGGAAAACAAAAAACTCTTGACCACTGATAGATTAAACACTGTTATTGTACAGTAGTGTTTCATGCAAAAGCCCTAATATTAGTGTTTGTTTTAGTTGATTTTTAATTTAAAAGACTATCATTATTAAAATGTATTAAATTAAATTTATTTTCCACATATGTTTAAAGACTTGTTGAATATAATATAAACTGGTTGTAATATAAAGCATGGGCCTTTAATTATTGTTTACCCTGGGCTCCTAAAAGTGTAAATCCGGCCCTGCTCATCTAATGATTTAACTCTCCTTAATTGAAACTAATGATGACACCGTTGTACATTCACCTCACTGCATGGAGTAGGTTGAGCCTGTTGCTTTGCCTATTTACATAAGTAATATCGTAAACTCCGCATTCAAGAAAGTATTAATTTAGATGACCATCCCCAACTGGCTCACATGTAAGTTTACTTACTCACATCTTTTGTCTGGCCCAATAACCATAATAACTTCAATGCAATAGCTGAGTATTTGATGAAAATTAACGTCAATTTTCATACTTTTCGTTCTTGTTCTGTGCGTCCTTTTAGGATCATTATCAAAAACCTGCATCATTCTACTCTTGATACTGAAATTTTTGTCACATTTGCAGGACACATTCACTATGTGTAAAAGTGAGTTAAGTAAGTCCATATGGTAAAAAAAATCGTTCCCTTCCAATATTTTTTGTTAACTTTGAATGCAATGATAAAAACAACCAAATCTTAGCATCACTTCTTTACTGAATACGAAAGTAGTAATAAAAAAACTACATACGATCTGCCGCAACATTTTAATTGTCAAGATTATAATCACATACAAAATTACTATTATCTTCCATCTCAATGCGTCAAATGTGACGAGGCTCATACTGCCAGCTTCAGGGGGTGGCGGTTCTAACGATCCATTCTGAATTCTGTCGAATTCAAGTCAATAAAATCTCACAATTATACCTCTTAGTCTAAAAATGTAATTTCCGAGTGTTACCCCAAAGACACTTCTCAGTCAATCCTTTCATATGCTACTGTTACTTCTGGTCCTAAACTGAACATTAATCCACAAAATTCTAATTTAAATGTAGTTCTTTAGAAATTCCTCTCTGATTATAAACTCATTTATTTCTGCCACATTGATAAACAAATAATTGAGGCATTAACTTTCCCTAATTATTTTGGTTATTTTATATACTCATTGCATTTGATATTTTCATCTAATATTATTTATCGTTTTTACTGTCTCACCATTATTTTTAATTTAATTTACTTTTTACTTAATGTATTTAGATATTAACTATTCAAATTTAATGTTTTAATTGTTGAACGATCATGGTGATTACTGAAAATTCTAAATTAAAAAAAAATTCCTTATGTATCATTATGACATTTCATTGTTCAAGGTCAAACTTACTTTTTAGGCAAAATATATTAATTAAGCTAATTTGAAATTTAAAGATAGTTATATTTTTAAATTACTAAAAATATTACTTTACTTTTAGAATTTAATTTTTCCTAATTATCTGTATTTTCTAGAAGCCTGGATCATTATTTATTGTTTAAATATGAATTATGATTAGAAATTAAGAATATTTTAAATTATTAAATGTGGGATGATTTTTATATTGTAATAAATTATATTTATAAATAATTATTAAATTAAAAGTTCAAGAATATTTTTACTTTTCAAATGATTTAGTTTCGTATTATGTATAAATAATATATTTCTGTCCATAGAGACTATATTATAATACCTATATACAGTTATATAGAATCCCAATTAGTGATTAAGTTAATTTATATAATCAACCATATTTCTCATAAGCTTTATTGTTTATAAATATTGTGATTATATAGCTATGTTTAATTATTTTTTTTTATGTTATGGCAAAAATATTAGACTATTTTTTTTTAAATTTAGCTATAAACAAAATTACAAAAGTTTTCTTAATAGACTTCTGTGAAATATTTATATTACTTTATATTTCATAATATACCAAGTATAAATATTTTAATGTTTTACAGTAATGTCTCCTGTTGAATCCATTAAAAATTGTACCCTAAATTCACGTTTAAATGGTTGGTGTTCACAATTGGATCCAGCAACTTCAGAACTTAAACAAGTTGAACAAAATTTAAAATCATTAAATCGTATACTTGATCAATTAGAATCAGTTGATAATGATGTAAATATTTGTTAAATAATATTTTATAATTACTTTATTTTTGTATATTAATAATTAAGTTTGTATTATATTATTATAGGTTGGTGCAATGGATGGAATTCCTGTTACAAAAAAGAGTACTAGGTTCCGTTTACGTAAAAAAAAAAGTGGTGGCGGTAGTTGGGGTGGTACAATTGCTGGATGGGGTATTGATATGAACCAATCAACCAGTCAATCAACAAATAAAACATTTGTCGATGTTACAGATTCATCTAGTTTTGTAAATAAATAATCTATTTAATCATACTTTTAGGTATTGATTTAATTTTTTTTCATAATAGCCAACTGGAATAACTACTCAGAATTTATCCAATAGCAATCCATCATTAACTGTTAATCCATCAGCTAGTGATCTGCAACTTTATACGGATTTTGTTATTCTAGCTAAAGATAGTGAGATTAAATTATTAATATATATTTAAAAGCTTATAACTATGCAATATTCTTATTCATTTTTAGTTCAGAACAGTTTCAAGTTTATAATGGAAACAATTAATGAAGAACGGAATCATATACTTGTTGGAGAAAGTAATGATGATAAATTATCCAATTATCGAGTAGCTTTAAATAAAGCAATTCAACAAAACAGTGAACTTCGTGCTAAATTAAATAATATTCATGTTACTTCTGACACATCAAATTTTCCGGATCCTGTAGGAATCATATACTATATTTAAACAAAATTTTATAATTACTATTTATTATTTTTAGGTTTTAAGTTCATCTTTATCATATAGTTCTGGTGTAAGTGGATCAGAAGTATTTTTTGATGCTGAAGAATATCAAGGTGGTAAAATAAATGAAACTGTAACAAATGAATTAGTTTCTGGTGAAGTAGTTGCTCAAACTTCAGATACATCTTCTGAAGGTGGATCTCTTTCATCTGAAGATGGATCAATTTCTTCAGAAAATAGTGATGGTGCTACATCCGAGTATAATAATCCTCAAGAACGTAAGTATTTTATATAATATCTTATGTATTAAAATTACTTTGGTTATAGTTATACTACTGTAAAATATCTATCACTAAGTAAAAATGTAATTATTATTGAATTTCTTATTATAGTTTAAGATTATGTATAACTTGGTACATCTACCATGTATACATAATATAGATGGGTATCATATTTATAGATAGATTAATATTGATAATATTGGTTTTATAGATTTTTCATTGAGCAAGAATATCAATATTTTAATTACTTCTCATTTCACATTCAGTTTGAAATTTGAATAATTAAAAAAATATTGGTCATAATTGTAGCCATGTTCTTGAAAAATTTCAGAATGATTAACTGAATAATTATTTGCAAAATAAATGCTGTTCCCATTAACGATCACCCACTAAATTATGGTGTTTCATTCACTAGACAACTTTTTTATTTTTTCAAATAATTAATTGGTTTTTAACAAGTTTTTTTATACTTATTAATTGATACAATCAATATTGATTAAAATATGTTTTTCTATGAATTAATCCTTCGTTTGTACACTAGGTCTTTTATGGCACTACCGAAATTTCGAAAATGGATTTTTTTGAAATTTCATCACTTTTACAATGTTATGAAAAATATAATTATTAATAAATCGTAAAACAAACTTCAAGATCTTAAAGAGCAACCTTCAATTAGTAAATGTAAAGTTTTTTACATTTTTCCTAAGTATTTCTAAAAAACACGTCTGTCCATTTTTGACTTGCAGACGACGTTTGTTAATATTGTTCGATTAAAAATATAAAATCAAAAAAAGCTAACTCATTATTTTGACCTTTTTTTTTTTGTCATATACTAGTGGTGTATTTGGACCTGCATTTTTTTTTTTTTTTTTTTGGGGAGGAGTTAATTTTTAAACAAACAATTTGGTGGTTCTGAAGAAAATATGACAAATCGTAATCTTAAATATATTATTCATTTTTTTCGTTATTATTTTTATTATATTTATGAATAAAGAAAATGAAATAAAGCGTACTAGTTTCATTCATCACTTGTTTGATGGGTGATATATACCTAAGTATGTTTACACTCATGCGCTTACTACTTTAATTTTCAATTCGACTTGTGTTTCAACATTCAATTCCATTCTCATTTAACACAAGACATTGTCTTTATTAAATGCAATGATGCATGCTTTTTTCTGTTCTCACTAGGGACGTCACAAATCGGTCGTCTTCCAGATTATTAACAAAAAACTTGTCGGATTCACATGTACTTCTCGGTGTTAATGCGGCTTACTTAATTATTGCAAGTGCAAATAAAAAACCTAGGAATAAGCGTTCTTTGCAGGTCATTAATTATTTAAAAACTTGGAATTACAGATAATTTGCAATTACACGAGATATTTTATTTAAATATTTTACACGAATATCCAGAGCAATTTTTATTCAATATTAAATATAGTTGAATCGGAAACAGTGAGACAAAAGACTCATTTTAAAGAGGTTGTTCCATCTAAAATTAATTTAATATAAATAAATAAATAATATAAATAATATTAATTAAGTTGTTAATAACGATATGGTATTTAGTTACCGCATTAAAATGCAATATAAAAAGCACGGCGTGTTGAACGGATTCCCATTGAGCGCGGAAAACTTTGTGTTGTAGCGTGCATCACGAAAATGTAGCCGTTGAATTCAAAAGAGCATGCGCCATTTCAAGTTTTTTTTTTATTCAACTTGTGGTGCGCTATGATGTATCAAACGGACGAAAAAGCGTTCGAGTGTAAACATATCATATTATAAATACTTACTATAGCACAAACAGTGCCGTAGTAATACGATAATGGTTACCATTGACTTTGAACTTAGTATGAGGTTTATGACGATTACATATTAAAATAGGAATTAGAAGATAATCGTAATAATTACACCGTCACTATCTACAATATTTTCTTGGAAATACTCAAATACGTATAGGTACCCCCATAAGATAATGTACAATTGTATTGACCAAAAATATACATCTCATAAGAAACTATATAATTCTTCCCAAAATGTTTGGGGGGATTTATCCCCCCCCCCCGTATGTACGCCACTGTCATGTACTATAATGTTTTAATAATCTTTAAAATACTTCATTATTTGATTATAAATATAATTAAATGTATAGTTGCTTGGAAAATTAATATTTATTAATATAAAAATTATCGCAATGTAAAAATCAAAATAAAATTATTCATTGTAATACTAATAATTTGTAAACATTAACTATATTTTTTTAATTATGCAAAACTATTTCTGAATAAAAATATTTTTATTTATTACCTACTTACATTTTTTTTTTAAATTTTTATAATATATGTATAACTGTGCCCTAAGACAGCGGTTTTTAATCTTTTTGAAGCTGTGATCCCTATGTCACCAAAATTTTGAGCAACCTTTTTACTATGATAACATTAAAAAGTAGTGATAAATTAATATGATTTATATAAAGTTGTTATCAATCCTTTTATCAGTTGTAATTCTAAACAATCATTATGATATGATGATGATGATATTTACAAAAAACCTTAATAGTTATTTTATATATTAGCGGCCCTAAAAATATTGCTGGTGAACCCTAAGGGGGTTCACGACCTCCAGTTTGAGAATCGTTGCTGTAGAACACAATAACAAAATTTAATATTAGAAATAGTATGAAACAGTGCGAAGCATCCACTGGTGACCTGTTATTAATGTTTATTTGTTATTATGCTAAAGTTTTGTCAAATTACTGATCCTTTGATGCTTTGGCAAAATTATCGCGAAAGTATGGCTGACAATATCATCGGAAACGACAGGAACTGTCTTCAAATGATATTAGTTTTGATCAAAGTATATTTGATGAAGTTTTATTTGGATTAAACAAAGAAGAGGAAGTTTTATCGGGCAAATCTGTTGTACATTTTGGTTTTCTTTTACTGATAAACATAAATAGGACAACAATTAATATTGAGTGTTTAAGAGAGAAAAATTATGATAAACACCAATTATTATTACTGTCCATTCAAAATGAAAATCATTTAAACTGTGAACAAAGAATTGTATGATTTAGTAATGTTGTCTATTAACAATAGTGAAGGCAAAATATTATTTTTAAATACAGAAATGTAGTCTAATTTTTTGGGACGAAGCTTCTATGTCCCAAAAATCTTCAATTGAAGCTTTAGATAGAACGATGCGAGCGAGACTTATGTCATAATAATAGTCCTATGGGTGGCTGCACAGTGTTGTTCTCTGGAGACTTCCATCAAATCTTACCTGTGATTGCTAGAGGGACAAGAACTGATGAAGTCAACGCGTCTTTGAAAAGATCATACTATGGTCATATATAAAAATATTAGAACTTAAAACTAATATTAGAGTGTTATGTACTGGCCAAGATAATATAAATTTTACCAAAGATTTTCTTTTAATAGGCAATGACGAATTTCAATGAATGATTAATTAAATATTGAAAGTTTCTGTAATTCAGTTCTTACTATAATAAAATTGATTCAAACTGTGTACCCGACAGGGCGAACACAGGGGGAGTTAACTCCCCCCTCCCCAAAATCTCAGGAACAAAAAATAAATTATCTGACCTAAAAATTTATTACTAATAATTAAATTAAAAAAATTATTAGTTATTTAAAAGTTTCCCGTGGTTTGTAAATTGATGTATACAATACAAGCAGTGGCGTGGCCTGGATTTTTAAATGGAGGGGGGGG